AGAAAATATGAATCACATATATTTTTATACGTGTATAAGAGATAAAATTATCTTCTATAATATGATAAACATTAATTCTATTTTTTATATCACATTAATTCCAAAGCAAAACGTGACATCAAAATTAAAGGGTTAGTTTTTTTTGTTTTTTGTTTTCTTGATACATACCATATTCCTCACCAAAATAAGGGGCAATATAATCTTACCCATCACCGTCAAAAGTAGAATGGATGGCACTACCACTAAGATCGCTTTTAAAATCCTAACCATTCACCACTGGATTATAATGGAGTGCTATACCATTGAGATGTTCTCTAGGGTTCATGTCTTTTCATCTATCTTGCAGAGGAATCACATATTATTATTCTTTCAATAGACGACTTACAATTAATTAGTTTGCAAGGACCAATAAAAAATCTTTGATTTACATTTTCATTCGGTATTCAATTACCTGTTTAATTATGTTTAAATATTTTATGATATGGAATAGAATTACCATAATATTATTTACATATTTTATGATGAAAAAGAATAAAGTTTTCATTTTATTATATGAAAACAAACAGAACAGTAAATAAATTAATAAATAATAAATCAATTCATTCTACATCTGATAACTTGAAGAAGAAAAAATAAGATAATAATTACATTAGAATGAAATGGATGCCATCAAATTCTATTACATTCCATTCTGTTCTATTTTACACTATTGAAACAATGATAAATAATATTATTTTATTTCATTTTATTCTATGTGACTAGTATTAATTATAAAAAATATATTGACTACTTCTGTATTTAGAAAAAATAATGAAGTATTTGTCATTTTGTCCAACTTTTTGTTCTTTTAATATCACTATACTTATTATTATAATTTTGCTTTTATCCTTCTAGCAGAAATAATTGAAACCCCCCCAAATGTTGCAGTCACAAAGTGGAGAAAATGATTAGACACTTTATATAAAACGAACGGGGACGTTTTTCTTTTTTCTTTTTTTTTGTAAATAACGGTGACGTTTTTCGATTAGTTCAAATTTCACATCATACATTTCTTTTTCAATCTTTATAATAATAATCATGCATCTTTAAAAGAATCAAAGATTGAAGCGTACACGACTTAGATGCTCCAGGGTTTAATACTAAATGACCTCAAATGAGTCAAATAGTCAAATTTGTTATATTCAATTTTTGTTATTAAACAAAAATTATTTAGTTCCAGATAATGAATTGAGTGTTTATTATATGATATGACATAAAAATAGGGAGTGTTCAAATCGAATTACTCAGTAATCAACAAATCAGTGGATACATATAAAAAAATAAAGGAGAATACATCCCTCATTTAACAGCAAAACAAACCTATATTCCTGTTGACCCATCGATAACTGTGTGTAAGCTTTTCTTTGTTTTTTAATTTTTGTTTGACAGTGGAGCCTGTTGCCTTGCTAACAGTTATGCAAGTATGCGTGCAAGTATACGCGACAACAAGTAACATAGAGCTTTTTATGAATCCCAGTTATTGTTCCCACAAGGATCTTTTGGCGTTTTGACTTGGAATAAATTAGTAATTGCTAACAGAACTAAAAATAAAATTAAATCAAATTAAATGCTACTACTATTCTAAACTAGTGTACTGAAAATGTTTTTGTGGAAATTTTCTCTTTTTAAAACAGTGATTTTAGTTGGTGAAAGGATCTTTAACTAAAAATTACTTAACTAAAAGACTTGTAAAATATATTTTTTTAATGATTTTCTCTTAAGTTTTAAAACAGAAAATTAATTTCAGATTTGGATGAAAATACAAAAGGAAAACAAGGATCGATTTTGAAAACAGAATTTGGAAGCAAGTTGGGTGTCAATTTTCCCTTCCTTCATTTGCCATTAGGATGCTTCACTGTTGTCATAGGACCTTGAAGTACCATTTCCTAAAGTTACATGGGGGTAACTTCATCCCTGGAGCCATACCCATTCAGAGAGATCTCTCTCAACTTTCCATGTGCTCACAGTGGGGTCTAGTGTGAGTTATTTTCCAATAATCTCACACCACTAGGAGTAGCCTATGTGTGATCATCACATAATAAACTCAGCAAAAAAAACGCACAGTAAACAAACTGGAATCAACACTTTAAATTTTAAAACATCACTAATAACAAACGAATTCCGGGTACTCTTTCAACCCAACTCTAAGAAAATTAGCTCATCACCACAGGTTGATGAGCTAACAAACAGCAAAGGTACATAATAAAAGCAACAACTTAAAACGTACGACTAGCAAAATATAAAGGCAGAGGCTATCTTCAACAAATAGCTCTGAAATAGTGCTTACAAAAATTACAGAATTCTAAAAACCTAAAAGCATAACAGAGAACAGTAAAATAAAAATTTCCCAAAGGGAAAAGAAAAACTCCCCGAAGAAAGAGAGGAGAAGAGACCTACAAATGCTTTTATCTCCTCCTTTATAGCTGATCCCAGGTCACCTCCTCAAAACGTACGTATGCTCCTCGCTCCACTCGATCGTGCGTGTCCCTTGTACGATTAGCAACGCACCAAAAGGAATCTCCAACCACTACTACTAACAACCTCCAGCTCATCAAGTCGATTGAGGGACTTGTTTGGATTTTTCTGTATCGCACAAAAATCGGTTAGTGTTTGTGTTTTGGTTGGTTTGATTCAAGAATTGAACCGTGAGTGAGGCTAGGGTTCTGTGATTTCGACTGAAATTGAAGGACGGTCTAGATCGGTGAAGGGATTTAGAAGGATCGGTAGAGATGGGGGTCTAAATGAAGGTGGGTTTGCTTGAACGGTTTGTTGTGCTAGGGTTTTTTCCTTATTTCAACTTTTCACTCTACTGAGTTCTTTTGCTTCCCATTCCTTTCTTTTCCTTCTTTTCTTTCTTTTCTGATTTGGGCTTCTCCCAAAATTGCTTTTTTCTTCCTTCGATTTGGGCTTCTGATCAGCAAGGATTAGCCCATTCTTCCTTTATTCTTTTCTTTTCTTCTTTTCTTTTCTGACATGTATTGTAACTTAGCCCAAGCTTTTCTTTCTTCTCTTTGCTTGTAGAAATAACACCAATTGGGCCTGAAAAATACAAAACCAGCCATTAGCACTCAAAATCAGAATCATTCATTTCTATGCAATATTTGGGGTTTTTATTAACAAAAGATATCCTTTTCATTCACATTTTAACATCAAACTACATGTTCTAAGTCACAAATCATGGACTTATCAGAGCCCACCAAAACTTGTGTGCACGAATTTTATTTCTTTTGCGGTTAAAGGAGGGATGTATTTCCCAAAAATAAAATTAGGATGGTAGTTCACCAGTGCTAAGATAGGTTGTGTAAGATGTGGAGAGTATTCAAATATCCTTTTCTTAAAACGTGAATATTGTTACAAGATAGTTGTACGCATATTCTAAGTTATATGGCGAGCTATGATGCATCGACACTTCAAAATATTTGACGTGTCATGTTTGATATTTCCTGACATTTTCTGATACTCTGACACTTCTCGACACTCCATCATGCATTGCAGAGACTCAAAAAAAGGTTCGAAGGTTGTGTTACGTTGTGTTTTTAGTTTAAACTATTAGATTTGTTAGATCACGATTATCATTATATTAAGTTTGACATAAATATATGGGATATCTTATATTTATTTGCAAAATTGACGAATATTATAAGTTTAGTTTCATTTTTTTGTTAAATTATTAAATATTAAATATAATATACACTATATAAATTAAAAATATTATATAGGGAAAAGTGTTTGTTATTTTAAATAACACAACTTATATCCTTTCACTCTCACAAAGAGGTGGGACCCACACCTTTATTTTTTCCTTTCCACTCTCTCTCCTCTTTTATCTATCTCTTTCTCTCACTTAAAATGACACAACTTTATATCCTTTAAAATGATACACACTTTTCCCTATTATATAATATCAAAACGTGTCGAAATCTAGCATTTTTTAGAATTAACTTATCGGAGTGTGGTGTCGTATCTCGTGTCAATGTCGGTGCAACATAGGTGGCGAGTAATTTATATATATATATATATATATATATATATATATATATATAGGGACAAGATCCGTTTACAAACTTTTTTTGCAATTACACTAATGTAGGACCGGTCGTACACTGTGTGATTAATGTAGGACCGGCCCTACATAGTGTAGTTTGTAAACAAAAAAATTTGTAAATATAACTTGCTCCATATATATATATATATATATATATAGGAGAATGATATTGTGACAACCAAGTTGTGTTACTACCAATCAATCTCACCGTTAGATTGATTATGTTGATCCAACGGTTATATTTATTTCCATCTTTGTATGGTCATGATTCCCCATATTTAAAGTGAAAACATTAAATATGAGAAATCATAATCATACAAAGGTAAAAATAAATATAAAGTATTAAATTTGGGAAATCATGACTATACAAAGATGAAAATAAATATAACCGTTGGTTCAATATAATCGATCTAACGGTAAGATTGATTGGTAGTCAATTGGTAATAACACAACTTGGTTGTGAGAATATCTTTCTCCATGTATATATATATTAAGGTGATCGTGAAAAAAAGAAAAAAGAAAAGAAAATATTGATGATGTCAGCCTTATCTGCACGGAACAAAATGAAAAAAATAAAATAATGAGTTAAAGATGGGTCTAAAGTTGCATGTTCAGTTTCAGTCTATGTTTGTGTCTGTTGTGTCCTTTTCAATGGTGGCTGATATGCTGATTTGGCTTCCTTGTCGCCATCGAGAACATGACGTCTATCTCCCCCACATTCCCACTATTGCTATTTAGTAATATCATTCATTCATGGACCATATATGATATATGGAACAATAATGATTTTTCAAACCAATAGCTCTCAATAAAAATGGATTTACCAAACCCCACTAAACCATTTTTCTTTCGCTTTCGTCCTTCATTGGAAACCATTATTAACTCACACCCCTCTTCAAAAGGACTATGTGTTTGTCCTCCAAGTACAAATCTCTCTCATTCCACTTTCCTCTCCCTCAAAAAAACTTGTTTTGAAAAAAAGAAAAAAAGAAAAAACTTTTGTGTGTGCGTGTGTGTCTATCTTGGTCGTGACTTGCAGCGTTTGGTGGCGGTGCCGGAGAGTGGAGACAACAGCCATTGTTACTGTATGTCAGTGGAATATTACAGTGGACTTTACTACGGTGAGCTAGCTAACCCTTTACAATGGCCAGAGTTCAGGAAAAAGCGACGCCTTGTTGCGCGGCAGAAAGTAACAACCGCACAACTTCTTCTGCGGCTCCCCAACAACCACCACCACCACCACAACAACAACAACCACAACGACCCTCCGTCGCCACCTTCATTTCCGCCGTCGATTCCCACCCTGATCCTCCTCCCAAAACCGCTTCTGCCAAAGGTTCTTTTTTTTTTTCATTTTCAAATTTTCGGGGATTTTAATAATTTATATATTTTTTTTGCCGAGCTTGTTTTGGTGTAATTTGACTTGATCACCTTCTGTGTTCCCAATATAATTATGCGAAAATTGTTAAGAGTAGAATAAACAAATTAGTCATACCAAAAGTAGTTAAAATTGTTTCCAAATAGTTGTTGTTTTAGTGGAAGGAAAGATAGTGTGTTCAATTTCTGATAGTTCGTAACTCTTGAGGAGTGTGAAGAGGCTGAAACCAAAAACAGGACTAGTTGCCCGCTAGAATTATGCACACCGATTGATATCTAAAAAAAAAAAAGTTTTAAAGCCACTGATATTGGTTTAACTGTGAGGGATTTGAGTGAGTAGTCTGCATGAGATCGTAAGTTCAGACCTCAGTATCACTATTGTATAAAATGTTTTTGCACTTGCGGATAATTGCAGATAAGTTATTTGCATTTATCACCAAAACGACGTAGTTTTAGTATTGAAATCTTAAAAAATTATAAATATAAAGACTATTATAACCCTGAAATAAATTAAAATTACAAAAACACCATGATTTCTGTCCTAAAACGACGTCGTATTGGACTTACTGCAGATAACTTATCTACAGTAACCGCAGAAAAAGAAAACAAAAAAAAGAATAGTTTTATTTTGAGTCAATTTATTTGAGTATATCTTTTTTGTCTTTCCCTCCGTGCTAATTTACTGAATCCAAATTTTATTATATTTGACTATCAGCTACTAAACACAGTTTAAAAGTCCTTTCGTTATTTGCATGCTTGATTGATTACTTTTGATAATCACTGCATGTTCTCTAAAGAGTAGTATTGTATTGAGTTCGTTTAGTTGTCTTCCTCTATTATAATTATCTGACTCCTAATTTCATTTCAATTTTACTATCATTTCCCTCATATACTTGGCCTATAAAACAGAGTAGCACTAGCACACTCCTTTTCTTAATTGCAGTTGCATACATGGTAAATACACACAGCATGTTTTCTTATCCTGTGTTTCTTTTTGTGTTTATTCTCAATTACATGCCTTGTTCTTTTTTTGAACTTCTCTATGTACTTCTTGGTGGGATAATAGAAGTTTCAACTTGTCATGCAGGATAACTTAATTGAATGAATTGCCATGTTTCCTTTTAATTGCATAAAGAAAGATTCAAAACTGTTGAGATTTGTTTTTCTCTAATAATTAACTTGTATTCCTTCTTAATTGGAGACCAATGGGATAGACCTTCTATGGTAATCTGTAGTTTATGCAGTCCTTTTATGTGTTTGATTGACGAGGAACACTCCTATCTGTAAGTGTTTTTTTATGCTTCAACTGTGTTGCTACGTTGAATTTACAGAGAGATTGGGAAGCCTTGCTTTGTACTGAGTTTTATGTCCTTTCTGACCTTTTGTTGTTCTTTGTCTTTTCTGTTGTAGGGGATTTCTTATCCTCCCCCTAGTTTAACTTCTCTTTTTTCTTTATTTAATAAAATTTCTTCTTCCATCCAAAGTTAAAAAAATGTTTCCTGTGGCATAGGTATCACAGTCATGGTGAGAGCTCAAACCTGCCACCCTTTGGATCCACTATCTGCTGCTGAAATATCTGTCGCCGTAGGAACTGTTCGGGCAGCTGGGGCAACACCTGAGGTACATAATACATTTATCTCTTTCAGTGTAGATTTTGCTTGAGTTTAATACACCAAGTAATGGCAAAACCATGTTAGATGTTGCCTACCAGGCCATAACTACATATCACTGTGTTTGCATGTTGATGATGTTCTTTGATAATCTTGTCAGGTGAGGGATAGCATGCGCTTTATTGAAGTAGACTTGGTTGAACCAGAAAAGCATGTTGTTGCCTTAGCAGATGCGTATTTCTTCCCTCCTTTCCAACCATCACTGCTTCCCAGGACAAAAGGTGGACCTGTGATTCCAACTAAACTTCCTCCAAGGAAAGCAAGACTAGTTGTTTATAATAAAAGGTCAAATGAGACAAGCATATGGATTGTTGAACTTACAGAAGTTCATGCAGCAACTCGAGGTGGACACCATAGGGGCAGAGTGATTTCTTCTACAGTTGTTCCAGATGTTCAGCCTCCAATGGTAAAAATATATACTACTCATTCATTTTTATTCTTCCTTTAAATGTTGCTGCCTATTAGGATTGGTAGAGTCTTCCTAGTCCCCATGTTAATTGATAACTAAATTATTTTTCCTTTTTCTTTCCCAATTTTTTTATGCGGAAGTTTGTAACTTGTTTGCCTTTTAGAATTTTTATGGCTTTTCTAAAACTTGAATGAAGTTCTTAAAGAATGGATATCTTGCAGAACATCAATGGTTCTTTATTGTTCTCGAGAAGCCAGTGGCACAATCTATTTTAGTTACATTACTTTGTGGTGTGAATTTGTTAACCTTGCTGAATTGAAAAAGCTTTGGCATTACTTGCGTGGATGGATTACAGAATTGGAATCACCACTCTTATACTATTGTTCTTTGTCAATCCTAAGAAGTTGTTGGCACCGTCATGTTTTTTGTTTAGTAGTATGACATTATTCCTGTTAGAAGTAATGTTAGCTTTTTTGGTGACAAATAGAATATCTAAATCCAAAAATAACATGCATGCAGATTGACTTATAAGATTATTGGGAATTTCATGTATACAAGGAATGTCATTGACCTTCATTTCATGTAATCATCGTGACATGGTAGGCCAATTGATGTAGAACCAAGTAACCAAACACATGAACAACTATGAAAATGATATTTGTAGTCCTTTACACAAACTAATTTCTAAATATAAAGTAATATTGAAACAGGGATAGAGATCTCCCTTTGCAATCAAAGGATCAAATCCTAACTCACGATTTAGAAACCGTAGTCTATGTAGCACCGATACGGACACGGGACACGTGACACGATACGATACGACAATCTGACACGTTAATACTAAAAATTGTTAGATTTCGACACGTTAGGACACATTTTGATATTAAACAATATTTTTAATTTATGTAGTGTATATTATATTTAATATTCAATAATTTAACAAAAAAACGAAACTAAACTTATAATATTCATCAATTTTGCAAAGAAACATAAGATATTCCAAATATTTATATTAAACTCAATAAAATGGTAATCGTAATCCAACGAATCTAATAGTTGAAACTAAAAACTCAACATAGCGCAACCTTTGAACTTTTTTTTTAATTTCTATAATGCGTGTTGGAGTGTCGGGGAGTGTCGGACACGACACGTTAAGGTTTTTGAAGTGTCGGTGCTTCATAGACCGTAGTTCCCCAATGGAAGCTCTGATCAGATTTGTCATCATTCTGTATCACCTATACAAAATGGATTCTGGTGCACATGAATGGAGCCAAATAAGTGTGTTGAGAACTATTCCAAATTGTGATAATTAATGCGACTACTACACTGACCTCCTAGTTCTTATTTCCATTATTTTCAAATCAACATTGTTTGTGTTGTTCACTTTACACATATAGGATGCTGTGGAATATGCTGAATGTGAAGCAGTTGTAAAGGACTTTCCTCCATTTCGAGAAGCAATGAAGAAGAGAGGGATTGAGGATATGGATCTTTTGATGGTGGATCCCTGGTTAGTTACTGCTTCAAGATGATATGATTGACATTTATGAGAATTTACTCATCTGTCTTATTCTCTAATTCTTCTGTTGTTGAAACTTACAGGTGTGCTGGATATCACAGTGAAGCTGATGCTCCTAGCCGCAGACTTGCTAAACCACTATTCTTTTGTAGAACTGAGAGTGACTGCCCTATGGAAAATGGCTATGCGCGTCCAGTTGAAGGAATCCATGTACTTGTTGATATGCAAAATATGGTTGTTCTTGAGTTTGAAGACCGTAAACTTATCCCCCTTCCCCCTGCTGATCCACTGAGAAATTATACTTCTGGTGAAACCCGGGGAGGAGTTGACCGAAGTGATGTGAAACCCTTACAGATTATTCAGCCTGAAGGTCCAAGTTTTCGTGTCAATGGGCACTTTATTGAATGGCAGAAGGTGGTTGCATGTCTACGTACATTTTCCAAAACTATTTATTAGCCATACTGAGAACTGCTAAAACTAATTTCCCATTTTGCAGTGGAACTTTCGTATTGGATTTACTCCCAGGGAGGGTTTGGTTATTTATTCAGTAGCCTATATTGATGGAAGTCGGGGGCGAAGGCCAGTGGCCCACAGATTGAGTTTTGTTGAGATGGTGGTCCCTTATGGAGATCCAAATGATCCTCACTATAGGAAAAATGCTTTTGATGCTGGGGAAGATGGCCTGGGTAAAAATGCTCATTCTCTCAAGAAGGTCAAAGCATTTGCTTTAATTTCAATCATTCTTATCTTAATTTGTTCTCCTTTTTCAGCGTAGATGAAATTGAAATTGTTTTGCTTGATGTCATTATTCAGGGTTGTGATTGTTTAGGGTATATCAAGTACTTCGATGCACACTTCACTAACTTTTACGGAGGTGTTGAAACAATTGAGAATTGTGTTTGCTTGCATGAAGAAGATCATGGTATTTTATGGAAGCATCATGATTGGAGAACAGGTTTGGCTGAAGTTCGACGGTCTAGAAGGCTGTCAGTGTCTTTTATATGCACTGTGGCTAACTATGAGTATGCATTTTTCTGGCACTTTTATCAGGCAAGTTAATTATCTGTGGTCTATGCATATATTTGTGAGTCTGTCAAATGATATTGGTGGAACAATCAATGATTTTGAGGCCTAGTGATATATACTTCCTTTCCTTTAAATACATGCAAGGAAGTATCTCAGGTAGTAAGTTTGTGTAGAGTCCTGGGAGGGATTCAAGAGGAGGGTCGTTCTGTGTACCCTAGCAACTAAATCAGAATTTTCATCAGATTGGTATGAATGCTTGCATCATTATATTATACTGTGGAGACATATTCTATTTCAATGATTTCAACTATAGCATGATTATTAAATTTATGCCTTTTCTCATCTTACATTTTAAATTGTTTTTCCAATCTCTCCCCTGGTATTTAATAATGGTTTTTGGTGGATCTAAATGTTCAAACTTCAAGAATGCTAGTTGGTTGCCTCTGTAATTCTGTATTTGTGCTTTCATTCTTGCAGGATGGAAAAATAGAAGCTGAGGTCAAGCTCACAGGAATTCTCAGCTTAGGAGCATTGCAACCAGGTGAAACTCGAAAATATGGCACAACTATTGCACCTGGATTATATGCACCTGTCCACCAACACTTTTTTGTTGCTCGTTTAGACATGGCAGTAGATTGTAAGCCTGGGGAAGCATTTAATCAGGTCAGCATGCAATTTTGTGTTCAAGTGGGAAGGGCGTTTAATGTAGAAGACAAATTTTTCTTGTCGCCTACACGTCCCAAAATTTATAATAATAGTAATAGCATGAACTACAATTAGGTGTCGTGCATTCTATAGCAGGAAGATGAGCAGGAATGAAATGTATTTTAAAGAATACCATATATTAAGGGTACATAGTAGGTTCTCACCGCTTCTTAATGTCTTTTAATTACTAACTACCATGATTTTTGACATTGCCACCCATTACTATATGAGGTTTCTTTTCTTTTGTGTTGATTTCCATATTGAACTTCTGGTTTTGTGACTTAAGTAGTTCATTATATGGTTCCTTTTAGATATAAATGTCTTTCTTTTCCATCACTAAGTGTTGTAAATATTGGTTATTTAATTATTATTATTTGTTGTATTGGGCCAAGCCCATTAGGTCAAGTATTAGGTCAAGTATTAGGGTTTTTCATTCTCTATAAATAGAGACCTTTTTGTACAGATTATTTACACAATTAATAATATTTTTCTTATTACTCTTTTCAAGTTGGTATCAGAGCTCTCGATCCTGAGGGCTCTGCTTCCGCAATTACCTCCGTTAAAACAGAAACCTTCTTTCTTAGCCTCTTGCCGCCATTAGCCGTCACCGGAAATTTTTTTCGGTGGACCTTTTGGACCAAGAGGACCAATTTTCAAATCCTTTTTCTCTGATCTATCAGCTTACGGACGTGTTATAATCGTTTGACGACCGGATCTTCCCAAAACAACACAAGGCCGCTACTGTTCATCGCGTTTTGGACACTTTTCTGGCGACCTTTCAACTCCGACCGGCCACAGACAGGTTCGCGACCGTCGGACGACCTCGCCGCAGAAATTTCAGCTCCGGCGGCCGCCGCACACGCTCTCACGCGCCGCCACACTCCCGGCGAGTGAGGCCCACTCGCAGACACCTCCACCGGAGCGTGGGCCACTTTTTCCAGCTCCGGCCAAAAAGTTTTCTGATCTTCTCTTCATCCTCTTTCTGGATCTGTGCTCTCCTCTCAGTTCGGACGTCGTTTGGTATTTTTTTTTGTGATTTTTGGCTTCTTGGTGTTATCCTTTGACCATTTTTTGTGCAGTATGACCTCTTCTCAAAGGAGTTCCTTTACAAAGTTTTTTGATGGTGCATCTTCTAGACCTAAGAGAGATGATCGATGGTGTTCTTATTGTAAAAGAACAGGTCATATCAAGGATCTATGCTTTCGCCTCCATGGAAAGCAAACTGTCTTAGAAAAGATGGTTAGGATGCGTGGTCAACCGCATTTACTAAAATAACTTCTGCACCTAATGAGACCCAACCTGCATTTCGTCCAGATGAGTTGGAACGGCTCCGAATCATCCTTGATTCTCTGAGTAAGCCATCTGATACTAGTGCTTTGACTATGACTGGTATGAGCTCCAAAACTTATTCTTTCCTTTCTTCATGTAATGATTTTAAACATTCTTGGGTTGTTGATTCTGGTGCTACTGATCATATGGCTTGTTGTGTTGACTCCTTTACTTCTTATCATCCCATCATTGGAACTCATACAATAGCCGTAGCTGATGGCTCACATACATTAGTTGCGGGTTCTGGTGACATAAACTTACAGCAGTCCTTACATCTTAAAGATGTTCTTCATGTTCCTAAACTCTCCACAAATCTTCTTTCTATTCATAAAATTACAAAAGATTTGAATTGTACTGTAACCTTCTTCCCTACCCATTGTGTTCTTCAGGATCTCGCCACAGGGAAGACGATTGGTAATGCTAAAGAGCAAGGTGGGTTGTACTATCTGGTGTCACAATCTCCCGCAACTAAAGTAACAGATCACATCTTGATGTCTCATGTTCAATCAACTGCTGATTCTTTGATTTGGCTTCATCATAAGCGTTTGGGACATCCTCCATTTAGTTTACTCAAGTCTTTATTTCCGTCATTGTTTTTGTCTAAGCCTGTTGAGTCTTTTCATTGTGATGTTTGTGAATTTGCTAAGCATCATCGTGTGTCTTTTCCTTCTAGTATTACTAAGAGTGTTGCACCCTTTGATCTTATTCATTCTGATGTTTGGGGTCCTTCTAAAGTCCCTCATGCTTCTGGAAATAGATGGTTTGTTTCTTTTATTGATGATTGCACTTGTGTCACTTGGGTTTACTTAATGCGTGAAAAGTCTGAGGTACCACAACTGTTCTTTCAATTTTATAAAATGGTTGAGACCCAATTTGGTAAAAAATTCAAGAGACTAAGAACAGATAATGGTACTGAATATGTTAATCACAGTTTTTCTCAATTTATACGAAATAACGGTATGATTCATGAACTTGCTTGTGTTGACACCCCCCAACAGAATGAGGTTGCTGAAAGAAAAAATCGTCACCTTCTTGAAGTGGCTCGTGCATTAATGTTTCAGACACATGTACCCAAATACTATTGGGGAGATGCTATTCTTACTGCAGCATTCTTGATCAACCGTTTACCCACTCGGGTACTTGACCATGTAAGTCCTATTCACTCTATGACTTCTTTTTTCCCTTCTATTCCAACTATGAGTCTTCCTCCACGAGTGTTTGGATGTGTTGCTTTTGTTCATGTTCATAAACATCATCGCAGTAAGTTGGACCCTAGGGCTATTAAATGTGTTTTTCTTGGTTATGTTCCTGATAAGAAGGGCTACAAGTGTTATCACCCTGGTAGTAGGAAATTTTTTGTTTCTATGGATGTTACATTTCAGGAATCTGAGTCCTTTTTCCAAGGTCCTCATCTTCAGGGGGTGAATCCTTCACCAGAAAACTCATCACCTCCCTTCTTTGAGTTTGAATCTTCAGTGTCTACTCCTTTACCTGTGTCAGTATATCCTCCTCTTGTTCCTGTTCCTCCTGTGTCTGATCCTCCTGTGAGTGATCCTCCTGTGACTGATCCTCCTGTGACTGATACATCAAGTACACGAGAGATACGGAAGATTATGACACCTGAGTTGGTATATCAAAGAAGGAAACAACCCACTGGTAAGTCCTGAATCTCATATTTCTGATCATGATGTTAATACTTCTGATGACTTACCCATTACTACTGATTCAGATGATTTACCCATTGCTCTTAGAAAAGGAAAAAGATCTTGTCCCAAAAAATCTTGTTCTTCCTGTCCCTCTTGTACTCAATGCCCTATCTCCCATTTTGTTTCCTCTGCTAATCTTTCTGTGCAGCACAAAAGCTTTGTTTCAGCACTAGACTCTATTGCAATCCCAAAATCAGTACATGAAGCCTTGAAAGATGGGAATTGGGCTCAAGCCATGCAAGAGGAAATGAATGCGTTGGAGAAAAATAAAACATGGGAGGTTATTGATAGACCTAATGGAAAGAAAGCAGTAGGGTGCAGATGAGTTTATGCCCTGAAATATAATTCTGATTGAACTCTTGAGAGATACAAGGCTCGGTTAGTTGCCAAAGGTTACATTCAAACCTATGGCATTGATTATGAAGAAACATTTGCTCCAGTTGCAAAGATGAATACGGTGAGAGTCTTGTTATCCCTTGCTGCCCATTACAATTGGGATATAAATCAATTTGATGTGAAAAATGCTTTCCTCAATGGTGAGTTAGAAGAAGAAGTCTACATGGAAATCCCGCCTGGTTTTGATTCTGTGAAGGGAGAAAATAAAGTTTGTAGATTGAAAAAGGTCTTATATGGATTGAAGCAGTCACCTCGTGCCTGGTTTGGAAGGTTTACTAAGATTATGATGACCTTAGGATACAGACAAAGTCAAGGAGATCACACTCTTTTCTTCAAGCACTCCCGTAATGGGAAGCTTACTGTGCTCCTTGTATATGTTGATGATATTATTATCACAGGTGATGATTTTGTGGAGAAACAAATTCTGCAAACACGGCTTGCCTCTGAGTTTGAAGTCAAAGACCTTGGGAAACTGAGATATTTCATAGGGATAGAAGTAGCTCATTCAAGGAAAGGAATTTTTATCAGCCAGAGGAAATATGTTCTTGATCTTCTCAAAGAAGCAGGAAAGCTCGGGTGTAAACCCTCTAATCCTCCTATTGAGCAGAACCACAAGATAGGCTATGAAGAGCAGAGTCCTCCAGTTGATAAAAGACAATATCAACGGCTAGTTGGGAAATTGATATATCTGGCTCATACTAGACCAGACCTAGCTTATGCTGTTAGTGTTGTCAGTCAGTTTATGCACGATCCAAAGGGGAAACACATGCAGGCAGTAGAGAGAATTCTTTAGTATCTTAAAGCTACTCCTGGTAAAGGCTTGTTATTCCGACATGATGGCAATCTCTCTTTAGAAGTTTACACTGATGCTGATTATGCTGGATCCGTGACTGACCGTCGTTCTACCACTGGTTACTGCATGTTCTTTGCGGTAACTTGGTGACATGGAGAAGTAAGAAACAAGATGTGGTCGCCAGATCAAGTGCAGAAACTGAATTTCGAGTTGTGGCTCAAGGCATTTGTGAGTTATAGTGGCTGAAAATTGTACTTGATGATCTCAAAATAAAATATGAGGGACCTATGAAGCTGCTATGTGATAATAAGTCCGCTATTTGTATAGCTCATAATCCAGTTCAACATGATCGGACTAAACATATTGAGGTTGACCGTCATTTCATCAAAGAGAAACTTGATAGTGGGCTGATTACCACTCCATACATTCCCATGGGCGTCAATTGGCTGATCTATTAACAAAGGGGCTTCCTTCAGACAGATTTCAAGAACTTACTAGCAAGCTGAGAATGATAAATATCTATTCCTCAGCTTGAGGGGGAGTGTTGTAAATATTGGTTATTTAATTATTATTATTTGTTGTATTGAGCCAAGCCCATTAGGTCAAGTATTAGGGTTTTTCATTCTCTATAAATAGAGACCTCTTTGTATTTACACAATTAATAATATTTTTCTGATTACTCTTTTCAAGTCTAAGTTTCATAAAAATGACAAAGCATAAACTGATATCCTCGCTCCCTCTGCGCAGGTTGTTGAGATGAATGTCAAAGTTGAAGAACCAGGAAAGAATAATGTTCACAACAATGCATTTTATGCTGAGGAAAATCTGCTTAAATCAGAAATGGAAGCAATTCGTGATTGTGACCCTTTATCTGCTCGTCATTGGATTGTAAAGTTCTTTCCACTTTTTAATTCCCCCCCCCCCCCCCCCCCCCCCAAGAAAAAAATCATAAAAGAAAAGCAAAGAAGCAAAATCAATGGTTAAATTTTTCCCTGGGTGAATATTTTTCCCCGTGTTGCTGTCTACTTTAAATATTGTAGCAGGGACAATCTGTAAAATTTTCAAATTTAGCTGCTGTTTTATGCTTTTCTTTTCTTTGAGTAGGAAGGATGTTGCATAGTGTTTGTGCTACCTATATATGTTAAATTTATTTACATAAAATGGCAAACCTTAGCTTATAAGCCTAGGGTAGGGGTGAAGGTCGATTATACATAGTCTTTCCCTTGTATTTTTACAAAGAGATTGATAAAGGAACAACCCTACAGCTGCCTCCAACCTTCAATTTATTTACATAAATCAAGATTGCATAATTCTGGTTGTCATATTGATTTAAGATTGCAAGGTAATAGTATCATAGACCTCATACTATATTGTTGAAAAACCATTGGCAATTAAATTTTTCTTGTAGATGTATATCTATTCTGGTTGTGGTTCCAGGAGGCTTTTACTTTTATTTTTATTTTTGACATCGGGAATCTGTATTGACACAACAATGTGTTTTATGTTAGGCTGTTAGCTAGTTCATCATCTCTTTCTTCTACTGACTGTATTTTAATTTTTTCCAAGTGCATATTTTCTACAGGCATATTAACCATGTCTGGAGTTATGTTTTTTCAATGTTGGAATTATTTACTTGTTTGAAGAAACCTTAGCTTCCATCTTGAGTTGCTTAAGTACATTTTCTGTTTTAGGTTAGGAACACAAGGACTGTAAACCGAACTGGACATCTAACAGGTTACAAGCTAGTACCTGGCTCAAATTGTTTACCTTTGGCTGGTTCAGAGGCCAAGTTTTTGAGAAGAGCAGCTTTCTTGAAGCACAATCTTTGGGTTACTCCTTATGCTCGCGATGAATTGCATCCTGGAGGAGAGTTCCCTAATCAGAATCCACGCGTTGGAGAGGGTTTGGCTACTTGGGTTAAGCAAAATCGACCACTGGAAGAAGCTGATATAGTTCTTTGGTTAGTTCATTATACAATTTGCACTTACTAGACATAAGGTCATGTGAGACGATCTCAGCAGTCCATAAATAAATCAACAAATCAACTGATATCCTTTTCTCACTCTTTATCCTATTGCACTTTCCATAACAGTTGATTTGTCTTTAGACAATTGAGATCGTCTTATATGACACTATATCACGTGAAAGGAAACATTTCCCTATACACTTGCTTTATACATGCCACTCCTTCAATGCACTTTTCCATTGCATACTTGAATATGCAGTGGAGCTGAGCTGGTTGGCTTGTGGTGACATCAATCACTGGTAATAGAGGAGGAGAGAGAAAAAATGTTAAAATAGGTAGTTGCAAAATCATAACCGTTGATTTACCTTTGTATGATTGTGATCTTCTCACATGATCATATCATGTTTTTTTTCCACATGAGAGGATCAATTTCCATCACTGATAGTTGTTGTCTTGGTCGTTTTGTTGTGGTTATGTATTTTCTTACATATGTCATCTTATTTGGTGGAAATGTTCCAGGTACGTATTTGGAGTGACACACATTCCTCGATTAGAAGACTGGCCTGTTATGCCCGTGGAACGAATTGGTTTCATGCTCATGGTATTCCATTCACCATAAGCTTATGTCTTTGTCATTCTTTTTTTCATGTCCAAATTTCAAATGAGATTCATATTGAAATACTTTGCACTCAAATATTACAAGATTATGTGCTCATACAACATCTGAAATTGAACTTTGTCTTCAAATTTGATAAACCATGTTACTTTACAAAATTAGGCACTAGTATTTGGGAGTATTCAGCAGCACCTATGGAATAAAGTTGTTTACTTGGAAACATAAAATATACTAATTTTGTATACATACAATTTATGATGCAGCCACATGGGTTTTTCAATTGCTCACCAGCAGTGGATGTTCCCCCAAGCCCAAGTGACTTGGATGATAAGGAGAATGGCATGCCTGCCAAGCCTATTGTTAATGGACTCATTGCCAAGCTCTGAAAGGACCAAAAGCAGAGACATTCAGGCTCATTTATCCCTTTTATATGGTTATGTTCATCAAATCAATGGGTGGTTCAATTTAATCAAATATTGAATACTACTGCTTGTTTATTGATTTGCATGTAATATGATGTTTGTAAAAATTATGTTGATATTTGTGAAAGGATTGTTCATTATCTAAATATCCATGACATACCTACCCAGCATGAATTGGTTTGATTATGATGGCTCAAGGATAAACGAAATAGCGAACAGACTTGTAATCTAAGTTTGATTTTGTGTTAAAATTAATTAGCCTGGCAAATATTTTATATTCCATTTGATTTTATTACCTCTATAGCTTCTTTAGTCCTAATAGAGATGTTACCTAACCGTCGTAAGCATTATATTATCTTGAAAAATAAATGTTGACTCAATCAATCATGTACACGTGGCAATAATTTCTAACATTGTCAGGTTCTAGTTGTGTAGGGAATTTCCAGAGAGAAGTTTCGTTTTTATTTGTACATATTTTTTGAGTTTTCGGCATTCAAATTGGGACAACGATCATTCTAACACATTTTTTTTAAAAAAAAAACATAAATGTGGGAACTCGGTTCCCTCAACTCGGCTAAGAAGCTGTTTCACGGAAGTCAATCAACAAGATCCTGGATCTCGACAATTTTACCTCGGCCTGAACTTTACCAGGTCGGACAGCGTAGTGGAAAAACTAAAACAAAGGGGAAAGAGAGAAAGAGAACACAAACAGTTTTAACGTGAGAAAACCTTCTCTAATAAAAAAGTAAAAACTCATGAGACTTAGTCCAGTTCAAACATTCACTATGAAAATAATGGGTACAAAGAATCAAGATTCACCAAAGTGGTGGTTAACACAACTTCTCCAACAATGGTGATAATCAAACTTCCCTAGAGATGTTTCACTCAAACTCTCTCTAGAGATCTCTCAAATACAAAGCTTAAAGTTTTGCTCACAAATCTCTCAAATCATCTAGCCTCCATCCACAGCTAATGAATATATAGAGGAGGTGAGATCTAGGGTTTAGGGTTTTTGGAAAACCCCTATATGGGCTTGAACTTAACATTGAAGGAGGAAGCCCAACAAATCTCCCCCTTCGACTTCAATGTGTCGGCTTCAGCATCAACTCAGCTCCTTCACAGCAGTCTTCAAATTTTCTTGTTGGAACCAGCTTTGTCATCATATCGGACCAATTTTGGTCAGTGTGCACTTTGACGAGTTCGAGCTCTCCACCTTCCACCACATCCCGGATCCAGTGATACCTCACATCAATGTGCTTAGTGCGGGAGTGATAAGTCGAATTCTTCGCAAGATGGATTGCGCTTTGATTGTCACAACCTAGCTCGTACTTGTCTTGATCATGGCCGAGTTCCATGAGGAACTTCTTCATCAACAGCATCTTTTTGCTTGCCTCAGTAGCGGCAATGTACTCAGCCTCGGTTGTCGATAGTGCAACACACTTCTGAAGTCTTGATTGCCAAGAGACAGCTCCTCCGCCAAATCTCATCATGTATCCCGTCGTTGACTTCCTCGAGTTAGAATCTTCCCTAAAATCAGAATCTGAGTAGCCTTGTGATAGTCCTCAAGAGTTGAGGCCCATTAAGTGCAAATTGTTCCACAAAACCCATGTTTTGGTTATAAATCACGCCCTTTAACCTTCTTCTTTTCATATAGAGCAACTGTTTTGAATAGTGGACCAGAGCAATGCCGAAAGTGGGAATTAAGGTAGACCTGAAGCAAATTTAACATTATCTTTTTCACATATGACTATTGGGTTAGTTTGCTTTGTTCAGGACACCTACGGCCCACCAAAAGGAACCACAAAATGAAGAGAGAAGAAGGAGTGTTGCGCAGAAAGGAAAAAGAAGTCTGCTATAGTACAACAGCAGTCAAAAGAAGCAATGGGGAGCTGCCTCGTCAGCTACAGCAGAGAAGGTGAAGGTGCTGCCTCTGCTGCAGTACGAAAGCAAAGAAGCTGAGCAATGGGGAGCCGCCACGTCAGCTACAGCAGAGAAGGTGAAGGTGCTGCCTCTGCTACAGTACGAAAGCAAAAAAGCTGAGCAATGAGGAGCCGCCACGTCAGCTACAGCAGAAGGAGTGGAGGTGCCACCCTGAATCCGATACTCCTACTCACAAAGGGAGCCAAAAGCAAGGGGGACCACTTCCATTTAAGGCCAAGCTGGCAAGAAGCAAAGCTACCATTGGAGAGGATTTAGACAAAGCATGACCCTTGATGAAAGGAACAATGGAGATCAAATGAAGAACCCTATAAAAGGAACAAGCAATCCTCATAAAGAGGAGGATCAGCACCCATCCTAGGACTGGTTGTCTCTTTGTTTTCTTATTTCTTTGTAAAAATGCTCATTAGGAGCTAACTTCCTCTAAGTAGGTGAGGGTTCCATAGAAGTAATCCCTTTTGTCTTAGGATAGCTTTGTAAGGAACACATATTTTATAAATGAATTTTGAGTTGCTCTTTGGTTTAATTTATTGATTTTGTGAAACCCTTTGGGCTGGCAACCTCATCCCGGGACCACTCGGTTGATGAAACACTGACAAAGGCGTGTGGAGCATTCTCAAAATCCTGGGGTAGTTTAGCTTGAAGAAAGGAGGGATAAACACCTGGAATGGGGAGCACTGCCATGTGAATCCATGCTCTTTTGAGAAGGCAGCATGGTTTCCTTGCATATAACTCCAAGTACTATGGAGTAACGTGGAGAGTAAGGCCTTACCCTATGCTTACCTATAGCAAAACAAGGGAAGGAGCAAAATCCACTTGTAAAATATGCTACCAGGCAGGGTTAACCAAAGGGATGAAAACATGGAACCCGTAACACCTACTTGATCTTTTTCTTTCTGAAATTAATCTTAACTCAATTCCTATCACAACCTTTTCCTCACGATAACTGAACTGTGTTTTACTAGCTGATGCTCTTACTTTCATTTCGTTGACTGCTCTTAAAGTTACTTCAATTGATGCCATTTTATTCGATGACCATGCTAAGTCATTCACTGCTCTCATCTGGTTCAGAATGGTTAACATTGTTTAACTAGCTGCCCAGAGATTGCTCTTTGTGAAGCTTAGCTGAGAATAGTGATTTCTTTTATTGCTCCATTTTACAAATTAAGTTTCCTTTAGCGCTTCTTACTTCACAACTGCTCCCTGAGGACGATAAATCTGGGGCTATAATACCCTATATTGCTTGACACGTACGCTTGCGTATAGTTGAAGAGGGTTGCTCTTAGTCAGAGTAGATTGCTCCTGTTGGCAATCCTGATTACTACTCTACACTCTTGCTCTCTGAAAGAAATATTCCCGAGCAACTCTCGGTTCGACCAAGCACCTTACAACTCGGCTTTGCCTTCTCCAAATTGGAGACATAAGTTGGTTGTACCTCAGAGGTACTTGAAGATCCACTTCACTGCTTCCCAGTACTCTTTGCTGGGGTTTGACAAATACCGGCTTACCATTCCAACATCATACGCCAAATTGGGTATAGTGCAAACCATTGCATACATCAAGCTTCCGACGGCGGATTGGTACAGGATCTTCAACATCTCGTCTTTGTCTTCATCAGATCTCGGACATTGCTTCTGGTTCAGTTTTATGTGTCCGGCTAGGGGGGTGCTCACTGTTTTGGTTTTGTCCATGCTGAATCTTTTCAGAATCTTCTCAATATACTTCTCTTGACTTAGCCACAGTAGCTTCTTTTGTCTATCTCGGATAATCTTGATTCTGAGAATCTGCTTTGCAGAGCCGAGGTCCTTCATTACGAAGGACGAGCTCAACGCCTTCTTCAAGGCGGCTATCCTCGATTTGTCTTTCCCTATAATAAGCATGTCGTCAACATATAATAACAAAATCAAAAAATCTCCGGCCTTATACCTCTTCACAAATACGTAGTGGTCGGCATCTGTCTTCTCAAACTTATGATCAGTCATGAATGATTCAAACTTCTTATACCATTGTCGAGGTGCTTGCTTCAAGTCATAGAGGCTTTTCTTCAACCGACATACTAAGTCTTCTTGGTCTGGAGCTCGGAACCCCTCAGGTTGTTCCATATATATTTCTTCTTCTAAATCACCATGAAGAAATGTCGTCTTCACATCCATTTGTTCTACCTCGAGGTCCATCGAAGCCGCCATAGCTAAGACATTTCGGACCGAGGTCATTTTCACCAGAGGAAAAAAAATCTCCTCAAAGTCTACTCCTTTCTTCTGATTGCAGCCTTTCACTACAATTCGGGCTTTGTATCTCGGCTTCTGCCCGTTCTCTTCGTTCTTAATCTTGTAGAACCATTTATTTTTCAGAGCTCGTCTTCCTTCTGGCAACTCGGTCAGCTCATAAGTCTGATTCTCGTGCAGAGACTTCATCTCGTCTTGCATTGCCTTTTCCCATTCTTCTTTCTCTGAGCTCGTCACAGCCTCATCATAACTCTAAGGCTCACCGTCTTCAGCAACGACGATGTATTCATCAGATGGGTATCTTGTAGAAGGTCTTCTTTATCGAATTAGATATCTCGGCTGTTCTTCAGCTTGAGAACCCAATTCATCATTCTCATCTCGGATCTCATCATCAACTCGGACCTCATCATCAGCTTGTTGCTGGTCATCATTTTCTTGATTTTCTCCCCCTGCTTCAGCTCAGACAAGAGGAGCAGGTTCTTCACGTCTGACAGTAACACGGACTTTGGGCTTTGAGATGTCATGAATATTCTCATCTTCATGAAAGATCACATCTCGACTTCTCACTATCTTCTTATTGATTGATCCCAAAGTCGAAACTCGAACTCACATCTAGGCGAACCAAGATAAATGCATTCTTTAGTCTTCGCATCAAGTTTAGCCCTTTCATCTTTAGGGATACGCATGAAAGCTCGGCATCCAAACACCTTCAGTTGATTATAGGTCGCTTTCCGACCTGTCCAGACTTTTTCTGGAATTTCTCCTTCAAGTAGCCATGATGGTGAGAGGTTGATCAAGTCAACACCAGTTCTGACGGCTTCTCCCTAGAATGATTTCGGTAACCCGGCATTGGATAACATACTTCGGACCTTCTCTTCAATAGTCCTGTTCATCCTCTCAGCAAGTCAATTCAACTGTGGAGACTTGGGGGCGTCTTCTCAACTCGGATCCCGACCTCTCTGCAATATGCATCAAATGGGTCGCAGTACTCACCACCATTATCAGATCGGACCACCTTCAATTTCTTGCCAGTCTCCCTTTCAACCATAGCATGGAACTCTTTAAAGGATTGGAG